CTGTTCAGTACTAATAATGTTTGTATAATTGCTTCGTGTCGGAATCGAATCCGCAAGATCCGGAGTACTACTATACCTATGAGATATAACAATTACGCCACACCGTCGTCAAATATTCTTTTGTGTTCGGCTCACAATTTATAAAACTTTAAGTTTCAAAAATGAAACTATAAGAAAATCCATACAAAGTTACTAGTTATAATTGCGTGTCAGACGTACATTAACTATGGAAGTTAATTTCATTTCCATAAAAAAATCTGAAAACATTGTTGCTTTACAGCACTCATTTAATTAACATTGGTTCATAATAACATATTGTTCTCGCAATCATTAATTTCTATCTTTCTATATTATTAATATAATACCCAATAGTTTCTTTACAATATTTGACATGTTAAAAAAAATATACAGTCGAATTGAGAACCTCCTCCTTTTTGAAGTCGGTTGATAAAACTATCTTTTCGGATTTTTTCGCGGATTTATTTGGATTTTTGGTTCCCCACAGGGAAATGATAGTTTTATTTAAAATATAAGACCTTTTAACTTCCCCTACTTTACTTAGGCCTTATTTATTCTCTAGTCCTTGCAATAGGACAGACATTTAACGAAAAATCAATCAATATTTTAGGCACAATGAGCTATAAAGAAAATAATTATGTCAAACATAACCGAACGACACATTTTTGTATTTATCTTATAACGAGCGACTTAACCTCGCTTCGCTCGGGTGGGTCCTAAGTACGTTAACTAGATATAAATAGTTATTCGACAGCGTATAAAATTAACAAAAAACTATTTTTTCCTATGTTTTGAAAGTTATTCTGCTATTCGGGACGAAGACAAATCCAACGAATCAAAGATCGTAAAAGTCGGTCCAGCCGTTCTTAAATAAAAATGGTACACCATTTTTACTTTTTACTCGACTTTGTTTTATATATATAGATGTTAAATGAGCAATATCTTATTTTATTATATTATCTTATTATATTAAACGAATAATTCTTGTTTATACTACATTTTATTTCGTATATCGCAGAAACGACTCTATCGATATGGATAAAGTTTTATATTTAGACAAGGTTTTGATTTAAAGTTTATATACATATATAAGTGTTTTTTCTGAAAAAACGCAGTTCTTCAGAAAAAATGCAATGAATGATAATCTACTGAACGAACGCCTACGCCGAAGCTCGGTCGCCCTGGTACTTACATTAACAAAGCCAGCTGTTGCTTTTAGCTTCAACTGCTTATATATATATATATATATATATATATATATATATATCCCCGTTGAATTCTAAATTCTGCTCTAATATAATATAATCGTGGCAAGGACAGTTGACTATTTATTGTAAACAAAGACTTTGCAAACCTTTCAGACCAAAATGTATTACAAATCCATTACTTTCTATCCATTATGCAAATACCTTTTGTAATCTTTGGTTTGGTTGGGAGTATAAGCAAATAATATGATATCTTAGTGGCGAAGTACCATGCTTGTCTACCTCTTATATGTATACTCTAGACTAAGTACATAGACAATATGCCACGACAGCAATATTTCTGTAGTAAATAAAATGTGTAACAACTGGGAATAGAACCGACTACAAGTATTTCAAGTACAATACTAAATTAATCACGAAGAATTCAGGCACAAACGCGGTGTCATCTATCTGATAGCAATGTGTAAAGCTAGATTATATTTTAAGGACATTTTAAAAACAATTTTTGTAGATTTAAAGGGGTAACTTTGTTTTTAATTAAAACTGACAGTTCTGTTGAGTCTGCGCCAATTTTCTTTAACAGCTGTTATTTTACTGTAATACAATATTATTATCTCAGCCTTTTTTAAATTAAATAAATTATATTATATGAAAAATTAATAAGTCTGACTGTGCGATTAATCAACTTGGAATTTTACTTTCGTTGTCCTGTTATCATTAAGGATCCCATAACACTTATTTTTTCAAAATTCTTTTACCAAATTTCGAAATATGGACTGAAAAATTTAGGCAACGGTTGTGGATGGCACTACCCAAAACTATATGTGACGGCGAAGAAATATATGTATAGACATAAAAAATCTATGTATAGACATAGATTTTTATATGTTTACTAGCGGACCCGACAGACGTTGTCCTGTCTACACGTCTTTAATTTGAAAATTTCAAACTTTTTTTTATAATTTTTTTGATGAAAATTATTATTCAAATTGTGAATCTAAACCATTCCCAGATCCCCTTGAACACACACAAAAAATTTCATCAAAATCGGTCCAGTCGTTTGAGAGAAGTTCAGTGACATACACACTCACAGAAGAATTATATATATATAAAGATAGAACATACAAACAAACATTGCTTCAAGAAAAACGTCTCATTTTATACTAAACCACATAAATTGATCTATAGGGATAAATATGTCAATTTATACAAATTTAATGAAATTGCTTAATTTTTAAGTAAAAAAAATGTTATAAACTGTTAAATATTAATCCTACGGATACAGCAGACAGCTAGACAACATGGTCAAACTTATATATCACAATATATAAATAATAATTTTAAAATATATAAATTGAATATTTAATTCCAAATATTAATTAATAATTAAATTATTTAATTCATACAGATAAATAAAATTGAAGTTTCTGTTTGTAATGTCAAAATAACAGCTTTTTACTAAATACATATGAAATTATATACGGTAATTATATGTAAGAAAAACACAATATTTAAAATGTTTGTCTGTCTGTGTGTCCGTTTGTTCCGGGTAATCTGCGAAACGGCTAAAGCAATTTTGATGGGACTTTCACTAGCAGTTAGTTGATGTTATAAAGAATAACTTACTCTAACATTATTTTAGAAAAATAATTAGGGTTTCGCTCAAAATAATTAAAACATATCTAGGGCCGAAGCCGAGCAAAGCGAGAGTGAGTCGCTAGTTAAAAATAATTTTCACACTTTATTTCCCAGATTAATAATACAAGTATGTTGAGAAATATGTAATTACATAGTAGTAGCACTTAGCACTTCGAGTCTAACTCTACGTAAGTACCTTATTATTGTTTTAATGTAATATTGCACATAACAAAGATATATGTACATACAAATATACTGAGATGCTTATTTATATAGGGATTTTCGTCAATATGTGCATAGAATAATTATGAAAGATGTTACATAGCATTTCTACAGAGTAAAAAGTGTACGAAAATTCACGGGATCTAACCAATAAAATTGATATTTTATTAGTTGGATCCCGTGACACAATACACAAATACTAAGTTTCATTTAAATCGGTTAAGTACACACCACTTGACCTCCCCTTGTTATATAAAGCAGATGTCACGTGTAATCTATACTAACATTATAAAGAAGTAAAGTTTGTGAGTTTGTGACGTTATAGGAGGTAATCTCTGGATCTACTAAACCGATTTTGATGAAATTTAGTAAGAAGATAGTTTGAGACCCTGTGAAGGATAGCATACTTTTTTCCCGGAAACCATACCTTAAGAGGGTGAAAATAGAGATGAAATTTTGTATTGGGAAGCAAGCTAGGGACGAACCCGAGCGAAGCAAGGGTGAGTCGCTAGTCATTGGTAAAATACAAAAGCATGAAAAACCAGAAGAGAGAAAAGAAGAATTATGTAATAACGATTTTATATATTTTACTATTAGTTATAAATCAGAAAACAATAAATTCATCATTCAGGAGTGCAAAAATTATAAAAACTCTTTATTCTTTAGAAACTTGAACCATCTACATAAACTGAATAGCAAGTAAGCTTCAAAAGTTCTAGTGTAGTGTTTGCACAAATTTAATAACTCCGAGCATCTGCATACAGTGTTTAATATGTATAAAACAAACTCACTTTATAATATGGAACATTATCATAATCACTTATTTAAGAGTAATTTTAAAATATCAAGAGAGATTTTTCTCAAGGATCTCAAAGGAAGGTCAGGTGACTAGCTTTCACTGCGTTTTTCTTGAAACTACTCGTAGTATCGAGAGAAAATAGGTATTTGTTCCTATCTTACTAAATCAAAATAGAAGATTATATGGTTATAATTTATTACATCCTTATTATATAATATACAAACAATATATAGTAATAATATAATATTATATATTGGCCATATCTAGATTTAATTATTATTTAAATATAGCAAAACAATTATTTAAACATATTGATCTAACAGAAATTCCATTATAATAACTGTCTCGTTCCCATAAAGTTACTTCACAATTAATATAACTATCAGCAGAAGACCAATATTGAAGCATACCGAAAATTAATTAAGTGCCAAGCGAAGCCTCAATCGAGTTATAAACGCGTTTGGAGAGAACAATAACAGTCATGAAAATCATTATACGTTCGTAGTAAAGCTATAAAATATATACTATCTATACGTTACTATATTAAATATGTAATATTTACAAATACATACATATATTATTACATTATTTAATATATTATTTGAAAATTCGGAGCCTGTGTTCTTTATAATACAATTGTCACTCTACTTAAAAATTCCTAGGTACATAAATTGTGATCATGTACAAAATAATGTGTTTAAATTACGTAGATCATTGGAAAAAAGTGACTTTACAGGAAAAACTTCATTAAAATATTAAAATTAGTATTTTTATAACTTTAAACTTTTTTTATACTTAAAAAAGAAATAAAGCTTGAATATTTACCTATTAGCATAGCTTAAAAAATATTTTATAATACCTAGACTCTGTCAGAGTTCAACAAGAATTTATTGAAATATTTCACACCACAAAAACCCAAATCCTCTTTGTACATAATATTACGAACGACGCGTAAGTCCTAAAAAACGAACGAACCTTAAATTCCAGCGCGAAAAATTCAAAAATCGAACACATTAAAAAAAAATATTTTTTAAAAATTAATAAATCGAACATACTCGAAAAACGTCTAGAAAAAAGCGTAGAAAATTTGAAAAAGGAACATATAAACGGGGGCACTAACCTCCAGTGGCGCGCGTTTCTCTCGAGTCGTCGACAATCAACAGGTGGGGTCGTACTCGGAGCTCGAGCTCCGGCGCGGTACTCACTCGCGGCACGCCCATCGCGTCCGACGGTCTAGGCGCGAATGAAAGCCCCTGCGATTTGCGAATGCGATACAGGTGTAGACCTTGAATTCCTTTGTAAATATATTAAGGTTGTATATAATCTGTGATAGTATTATATAGAATGTAAGACGTTTACATGATATAGATATATCAAATTGTTCTAGAATTTTCTTCTTCAATTAAATGTTGAGTGTTCTCTTTTTGTTATGCTAGTGATAAAGACTGCGACTGAAACGGAAAAGTGTATGTTTTATAATTTAACTTTGTGTGTATTGCCGCCATCGCACTCATAATAATAATATGCAGTATTGCATAGTTAAAAAATTAAAAATCATTGGCAATTCAAATATTATTATTATTTTTTCTTTATTAATACACATATTTTCCTTGTAGTCCGATCAAATTAGACCTAAAAATAGTAGTGAAGCTACAAAAGTTCGCATAGAGCTGAAAATTGGTAGGAATGTTCGGAGGACCATTATATGTGAAATCTGAAAAGTTCCCATTGATATCGTACCTGGAAAAAAATTAATTCAAGGTCAAAGTTTACAAAAATGAGGTTTTCGCGTTTTTCAGCAAAATTTTTACCAAAAAATTATCTCAATATCTTTTTTCCTAAGAGTTTCCTAGATATAACCATATAGAAAAAGATATATTATATATAGAAAAAGCGTGTGTAACTACAAATTTCGACTAATATATTTCGTACATATAAGTATAATATGTAAAACCATATACATTTCAAATAATACTCTGTACATTGTAATATTAAAGGAAATGTTTATTTGTTTCCATCATTATCTTATACAGAAGCTAGTAAAATAACAACCCTATTAGAGTAAAAGATGTATTTATATATATTACGAACTGAAATATCGATAATTCAAAAAAAAAATGGTTCAAAATTGGATAGATCATGTATTTTGTATTATCAATAGTTAATATTGACAGACTTATTAAAATTATCGTATTTCAGTTCAGTTCGTAAGAGCAAAAATTTTGAAAAATAAATATTCGTAAGCCTGTAACTTTGTTGTTATTGATGATATGAAAAAGTTGACAAAGACTTTTTATAAGATTTTAAACGTACTACAAATTTGCCATTTTACATTTTTCTGTAACTATTACAGTTTAGCTAAAATATGCAAAACACCATAAATTTAAACTTTAAAGCTATATAATAAATAAAATATTGAAGATAGAAATTCGACTCGATGGAACTTTTTGTAGTAAATTTAATAGTAAAAACGGTCCATTCATTCATTTTTTTGAAAAATATTTTCGTCATTGTTTGCAGGACCAAAAAGTGTTAAAAATCATATTTTCCATACAATTTGTATGGGAAAACTTAAAGTTCGACGGAGAACCTCGTAGAATTGGAATTTTGAGCTCCGCTTTTAACAGGAGCTTTATTGGGACATTTTCTAAGATATTTTGGGGTGAGAGCGAAAAAAAAATATTCATTTTTTTACATACCCTAATATATATATATTATAATTCTTATATAATTCTTCTGTGCGTGTGTTTGTCACCTTACTTCTATTAAAGGGCAGGACCGATTTAGAAGAAATTTTGTGTGTATATTTCAATGGGCTCCTGGACGGTTTGAAAACACAATTGGACGACGCCACCTACCGAGGTGGCGTTGCTGTTGGTGTGTTAAAGAGTTTGTTTTTTTAGTAGTTAGAACGCGGGTGAAGCCGCGGGTACTACTAGTTTATTATATATAATAAGTACAGGTTTTATTATAATAACTTTGAATTTTTAACGTATCGTTTTTTTAAAGATCCCTATTTAAACAAACAAGCTTTGAAACACATTTGGTTTAATATTTTACCATATTTTAACTCAAATAATAAGGTTTTAATATATTCTACTCCGTAAAATATTAATGTATGTTAGCTCTGATGGACTCATTAGAGATGCGTGTTATTCACAAATGAAACAAATTAACTCAGGATTTATTATGCATTTTAAACACTAATTTTAAGTGATGGATAGATATTACATATTATTATAATTAGATTTTTTGTTTGAAAATATTTTATTTATTATTTTCTTTAATTATTGCTTATAGTTTACGTCGATATAAAATATATGTATAGGTACTAGCGACTCACCCTCGCTCATAGGCTCGGTTTCATACCCAGGTGCGTTTTAACGGTCAATATGGAAAAGATTGGCTATATATAATAATATATACATAGATACAAAATAAGTTCTGAACTTTTCAACTTTGCAGCTGGTTTTTTACGTTTTCCCTATTTTAATCCTTACTTTGACAATCTTTATATTATAATAATTATTTATTTATTTTAAAAGCATTTTTCTAATACTGTATTTAAATATGTTATGAGATAAAAATTATATAAAATTAAAATTCTACATTACGACTCATATATTATTACCATCATCAAAGATTTTCCATAGGGTGATATTTACTTATCTTTACTAATATTATAAAGAAGTAAAGTTTGTGAGTTTGTGAGTTTGTGTCGTTGTAGTGGGTTATCTCTGTATCTACAAAAACGATTTAGATGAAATTTGGTAAGAAGATAGTATGAGTCCCTGGGAAAGATATAGGATGCTTTTTATCCCAGAAATCACCCCTTAAGGGGGTGAAAATGGGGATGAAAGTTTGTATGCTGAATCAACTAGGGACGAACCCGAGCGAAGCGAGAGCGAGTCGCTAGTTATTTATAAGTGCAATATTCTACGTACTACGGCGTAGTATCACATAGAGTAACCAGCTACGAGACCATCGAATATTATAATAAGCTACCGACCCCATTCTACTTTCCTGAGTTCTTCATGATGATAATTATTATTACATATTTATAAACTTAAGTTTGTAGCTATTTTATTTAGATTTCATACTAACTTCAATCTTCAATTTATCAAAATTGCTTGAATTGATTAACCGTCACTAAACAGACAGATAAATAGTGTTTTATATGTATAATATTAGAGTATGTTATTTATATAATATATTATATAATAGTAAAGATACATTAATAGAAAAATAAACTTTATTTTCAATACAGTAGAGGGTTTTTACTAGTATATATTAAATTTTAAAGTAATAATGTATAGAAATTAGATTAAAGTCAGAGCATGCAAGGAAGGATCGTTAAACTAAGTTACGTCGGGTTCTTTTATTACGACGTCGCAGCAGCTGAGACCTTGCTGGTTACGTGATTAGAAAAAGGGGAAGTTGCTGGTTTAAATTCAATAAGATCAAAATGGACTCGCAAATTAAATATTTTCTATATACTGCCTTGGTGGTGTAGTGGCTAGCATGTACGGCTGCACACCCGGAGGTCCTGGGTTCGAGTCCCGGGTCGGGCGAAGTTTAGTTATTGAGCCTTCCTGTATAGTAAGCCTCAGTAACAGCCCGGAGTTGAGAAGTTGACGGTGTTTCACCCCCGTGCCTCGGAGAGCACGTAAAGCCGTCGGTCCTGCGCCGCAACTCTCACAGGTCGTGTTGAGCAGTCGTCCCACCGGAGTATGAGAGTGACAGGAATAGAGAGTGCACGTTGTATCTGCGCGTACACTTGTGCACTAGAATATCTCCTGCGCAGTTGGCTAGTCTCAATGAGATTGGCCGCCGTGGCCGGAATCAGTCAGGAGAACATCATCATCATTATTTTCTATATTTTTGTACTAACTTTTGCCAATAGCCTATTTTACTTTGACATGAATCTTTTATTTGCATTAGAAATTTTCATAGAAATCAATTTCGTAGAAAAACTTAAAGAGGAAAATCGCTTTATCAATAAAGCCATTTTACTTTTTAGCTCTTTCTGCTTTATAGGATAAAGGCACGATTCTCTTTCCAAGTAAAAAGTTGCCTATGTTACTCTCGCAAATCTTTTTTCACCAGTTTAATCCCATTTAAATCAATTAAATCATTCTAAAGGAAACCTAATTAGTACACAAAGATTAGCTATACTATATACTATTTTCTACAAAATCTGAAGTGTTCAAGTTTATACTACGTACAAAAATCATTTATAATTTATTGTTTTTTTTTTAATTAATAAAAATAAATAATTATATGTATGTATGTACGAAGTTTGTTATTTAACGTGTATAATGTGACGACACGTTTGGCTCAGTTTGTAGTGATCCTACTTGCTGTACCAACGGTTGCGAGTTCGAGTACCGCTGGTGGCATTTATTTGTCTGATGAGCACGAATGTTTGTACTCCAGACATGGTTGTTTATATTTATAGTATGTATGTATTTAAACTTATATAATTGTGTAGAGTTTGAACTATCTGGTATCCATAATACAAGCCTCGTAGCTTACCATGGCACTAGACGGTGCTGTGTGTTAATTAATGTTCTAACATAATTAAAAATATACATATGTTGATGTTATGAAACTCTTTATTGCACTACTAAAATACAATACTGCAATAATATTATACGGATTAAAATGAAATTTTATTTACTTAAAAATAGTTCTAAAGAATATTTCCTAGACGACTTACATATCTAGGGATTTTATTTAAAAAATGTAATAAAAATAAGCTAAGTAAAAAACTACGTAACAAATTAAGCTTTGTTATAATGAAACTTTAGTGAAGAAGTTTTAATTAAATCAATTTAATATATCTTTAAGTTATAACAAATACCGATATTATCGTCATTGATTGAATAAAAAACGTCAGGTCTTCAGTTATTGTAAGTTAACATTGTTTATTATCTGTGCTGTAAACTTGAAAGCTGTGAACTTTTTATGTAATAATGACTCAATCCCACTAAGATACTTATTTGCCTATGTTAACGTAATACGTAGTAATATATAATATATATTATACGGCGCATATATGATTTGCAATGCTACCGGTGTACTCGAGATTTATTTATGGCTAGTGCCAAAAGAATAATAAAAATATACGATGAAAAATTAACGAGAATGCACAAAGGACACACCCGAGAAAGTTCGAAAGTTGAAAGTCTAAGTATTTCGTATTAAAACCTTTTTAACGTCCCACTGCTGGGCATAAGCCTCCCTTCAATACGAAACGTCAGATGTGCAGATTTCCTCACGATTTTCTCTTTTGCCATAAATCATGTTGGTAACGATTCACACATGAAAATATCAGAGATTCAAGACCCGGGATATGAACACGCTTCAGTCAGTTTCCGAATCGATCGCATTACCACTGGGCTACCACTGCTTAAATATTTACTGTACTTAAAATATATATCGTCCGATCTTGTCTTAGGAAACCAAACGAACGTGTTTCAACAAAATAACAACAGTAGAAGTGAAAGAGTTATGAGCTGTTACTTTTTAACAAATATATACCTCTTATAATGCAACTCTAAAAATTAATTAAACTACGGTTCTAACAATAATAATTAATTAAATGATACACGTTATTACTATCGTGTTTTGTCCTCAGTCTAACATTGAGAACTTCTTCAATTATCCAACAATTTGAATGCCTCAAATGTCAAACTACAAAGTGAATACAATTAAATGAACTTATTGGTTATACTATCGTCAAACGCATCTTTAAGGACGTTGTTATGAAATTATATAAAATAAAAGCAGAAATATTTCAAGCTACATTTAAACCTTAGAATAACGCTGTTATACTTAAGGACGTTGCATTCAGCCCTTTTTAACGTCCCACTACTGGGCACTGGCCTCCCTCAACACGAGGGGGATCAGGCCATAGTCCACTACGCTAAAGTGCAGGTTGACGGACTGCATATGTCTTTCGAAAACTTGCTAGTTTATCTCAGGCATGCAGATTTCCTCGTAGTAATCATGTTAAAAATGATTCGCACATGAAAAGAGGTGCAAGACTCGGAATTGAACCCGCTTTACTGGGTTTCCCAAGCAAGCATTACCACTGGGCTACCACTGCCTTATACAGGTTATAAAAGCTTAATTACTTGAATTCATTATATAAACATTTAATTTAATTTAAAACAAATTAAAAATCATTAATTAATCCATTATAACGTAAGATATTCGCTAAACAATTTTAATGAGCTCAAAATCAAAAATTGGGAGCCACAACGAGTTCCAAATAGTGCCAGGACTCTATCGTCAGACTAGTTCGATGATAACAAATTATTGTAAATTATCTTAGCCATTCTAAAGGAAATCTGGTTTTCACAAAAAAGACTACTTGTAGCACTTATATTTTTTTATATATTTTTATCTGACTTCTGAGAATATATTATACTCGTAGTGCCCTATTAATTTAAGACATAATATGTACTTGCACTTGCACTTTTTGCATTTCATTCCTTATCTGATTATATCTGAGTTTATCTGACGGCAATCCTCAAGATCAGAGTATACATGCTCTCCGAGGCACGGAGATGTAACGCGCTTACTCTATAAAAACTTCCTCTATATATCTATATAAACACTACATCCTAACTCTGGGTATTTCAATTCGGGAACTGACCTCTGGTTCAGATCAGTTAAGCCATACATGCTCTCCACTAGACCAGCGAGGAATTTAAGTAAAGTTAATAAAAACATAATAAAGCTTTATTTTTTGGAATTTATATATATATATATATATATATATATATATATATATATATATATATATATTAATGTTAATAATATTTTTTTAAACAGAACCAATTTTGTTGAATACGTTTGTTTGAAGTAATTCAAAATTTTACTTTTATATATCGGATATACTAAAGCTGTATATTTCACTTTCCATGGAGGTCTGGTGTGTATATTTAAAACTATAATATAAATTTAGTGCTCGAACTTAAACAACGAAGACTAAATAAATCATTTTTAAAATTACCGAATAATATAAGGCTATTTTTTTACCTATTTAATAAAAGAAATGAAATATTTCTTTAACTGTTTTTTTTGTTCTGAGAAAACATCGTTTTTACAAAATCAACAAGTAGTGGCCGCGAGGGAAATACTCACAAGGCCGCTTTCTACGTCACTTGATGGACCTTCGTTGGCTTGTAAAGGTAATATTAGGGACAATTGATTTTTGGTTTCTTAAATGCCAGTTTTTCTCAAACATTTTTACCTTTGATATTAAAGGCCTTTAAATTAATTTCTTTGTTTCTAAGATGGCGTATAAAAATATATTATGTTAACCTCAATAATACATTTTATTCATTAAAGAAACATGCTTTTGCGTCACTTTATGAAATTTACAAAGAAATATAATAGGTATAAATATTTCCAGCGAATTCTACTTTGGTCATAAGATAAAAAGTAACGATCTCTACGCAAAAATCACGTCGACTCATAGCTCTGTTGCTATGTAAATAAAAAGACAATAAAACAAACCAACTTTTATATTCTAATATGTAAATGGGAAGTAATAATTAAACAATAAACAGTTTGTTTTTAACCTTTTATGTATAATTAACATATAATTAAACATAAACATATCTAAATATATAAGAATATAAAACCTTTAAAATTACTTATTTCTCAATTCCAATATTCGTTAAATGCTTGTGAAAGTAGCGTCACACGCGTCCATGTCTCCTATAGGAAGTCCGGGACAGTATTGACAGGTGTTCGTCGGTTACCTTGAAATGAATTTATGTTTCAAATAATACTTTAGCGCAATGGTATTAAAATATGTGCATAAAAATATAATAATATGTGAATATTATGTGTGCGTGTGTTTGTTACCACTTTGACTTTGATTTGAAGCAGCTTTATCATAAAAAAGCCTATTATCAATCAAGTGCCCTACTATGTTAGCGGAAGCTAAGCCCAAAATTAGTTTTTAATAAAATATAACAATGTTATAAAAAATCCTGTTTCGCTGTGTTTTTATGGAGCGATATTTCGCTAATAAGAAGAAAATGATAGAGTAATACGACACCCTCGCTATCCACGATAGTACTTAGTGTAGTTGTTTATTTTATTATAATTTATTAATACAGTAAGGCCTTCATACAAGAAATATCCTTAATATTGTCAAGAAATATCTTATCTTTCATATTAATTGATCAAAATATCACATTCAGGGTGAGCGAAATTGAATATACATGAGAAAAATTACTCTATTTCCTTTCGCCAGAATTCGCTTCGTTGGAAAGCTACGTCTTGAAGAATGCAATTATCAACTTTAACCTTTTCCTTTCCTAGTATTCCTTTGTACACAATCAAGATTTCTTTCAGGGACTATGAATAAAAACTACTTTTCTATACTGAATATAGACGAGACAGACACATTTTTAAAAACACAAATGTTGTATTGTACTGTTACGTATGTTTATACATTACGTGGTAGTGTGTTTCTAATTAGAAAAATTGTGTAATTTCATTATTGGAATTACCCAAAAATCGAGAATTTGTACGCCGAGGAAACAATTCCACAGCCTGTTTTTTTCCTACTTCTATTCTATGATTTCTGACGGTAAACACATGTTTATATCCAACCGTTTATGTCCCACATCCAAACTTACAAACTCTAACTAGATCATTGCAAGTATTTGTCGCGGTTTGTACGTTTGCGTAATTTTTTGTTTATTTAATAACATTGAAAACAATTTACTTATATGTAAATGCAATTGAATGAAATAATTAAATAATGATATAACAAATATATCGTAGTTTAAAAAAAAACTTGAAGTATACTTTGAACTTTACATAATCGATTCGTATACTAAAACACTCATAGCCATGACATTTATATACATTTGTAGCTATATCTATATCATATTATACTATATTGTTATAGTAATTATTATTATTATCAATTAATTTATCCATATATTCAAATACAATGCTATATCTTGAACGCAATCTTTACAAATGATTTGATATTTTTTGACACTACCAGATTTACCGGAAATTATGCGTTCAATTTGTGTTCATTTTTATGTAACTATCATAAAGTTTAAGTTTGGTTTAATTAAGACAAACCTAAGTATTAGACGGTGCCAATCAATATTGGCTTTAATATAGCGATTAATAGAGACATATCTATCAGATTTGACCAGACAGAAAAAGTAATAAATTGATAAAAAATAACAATTATACGCAAAATAGATTTGTTATATATAAACAAATAATAAAATATGTTGGGACATTAACACACAGAACCATCTAGTTCCGTGGTAAGCTACGAGGCTTGTGTTATGGATACAAGATAGTTAAAACACTACACATATATTATAACTTTAAATACATACATATTATAAATATAAACACCCATAACTGATGTACATTCATAAGTGC